CCCGCCCTCACTCTTCCCTCCCCCTCACCTGCAATGTCCAAACTCCACGAGAGGAAAGGCCTCGCCACAGCGTGTACAGGTCAGCGAGTTGATCGTCCCCCACAGCCGCCAGTACACATCCCTCCACGTTTTCAGCTGACTCTTCAGCTCCAGAATGTATTCGTTCACGTCGAAGCTCGGGTCACGCACGTGGGAGTAGGTCAGCTTGCCGTTGTGGTCAATGGTCATTCTACCACACAAAATAAATAAAAATTAAAATAAAATAAAAAATAAATAAATAAATAGCATTTGTATAGCGCATATCCCCGCTCAACAGCAGGCTCTATGCGCTTTAAAATACACGTATATATAGTCGAAATTGTTTAATTTTTTCAACCCCATCGGAAGCGTCCGGCGGTAAAACCCTGTTCCCCATCGGACACTGGGAGCATCCAAAGCTAGTGACAACAGTTTCGTTTTATATAGTGTTAGTTTTTGTTTGTTTTTCGGAATTATTCCCAAACCAAATTTTTTAGTAGGCCTAATGACTAAGCCTTTGTTTTCATTATTTAGAAGTTGGAGGCAAGCTTTTCGGGGTTATAACGAGACATAGTGCTCTAGGTTTTGGAGACTGTAGAAAAAACTCCAGGAAACGGATACAGATGGCTATAATTAGCTGGCTCTTTTCAGGAAGTATTCATCTCTGGAAGCCTTTACAAAAGAAGCGTGGGTGGTTGGTGGCTGCTCTGGTGTGGTTTGCTCCTTCTTTCCTGTCAATCAAACATCTATTGCCCTTACCCTTCCTCCTTTTTTTTTGTATATTATTCTCTAGTAACATTTCTAATCTCCAGGCACTCATATGACCTGTTAGTGTCGCAAGTGCAGTAAAACTCTTTCTCAAACTACAACTAAGAAGATGAGGACAGTGTGACCTCTGAACTCACCTGCTGGGCATGCACTTGACCTGAGTCTGTAGGACGTGGGTCAGAATCCGCTTGCAAACCGAGCACCTGGAACACAGAGAGAGAGAAACAGGGAGGGATAAGGGACAAGATGGAGAGATGGATGAAAAGATGTTGTAAAAGTAATAGATAGCATTTGTATAGCGCAAATACCCGCTCAGCAGCAAGCTCTATGCGCTTCACAATCTATACTAT